CTATAAACTGTAGCATCGTGGTAAGGTTGTTTGCATCGATATCTGTTTTTATTCATTGTACCAACGTCATAAAGTCTATACTATCATAATATTTAACAGACATTTTGAAAAGAATTTTTTCGCTAAAAAAATTCGCACTATAATATACTTTATAACTTTTATCATCCTCACGAAATATTCTTTATTTATTTCTGGTTTATATATAATTCATAATCAATATATGTATGGTTATAACAAAAATTAAAAGAACTTGAATTTGAATGTTTAGTTATCATGCATTTCCTAATCTTTTTTAATTAAAATCAACCTCTTTTGAGCGGACTGTTGTATATAGTGCAGAAGATCACATCGTCGAGTTCAGTCAACGTATATTATCTTCGACATACAGAAATTATATTATATATTGACAATAAAATGCCTTCGAAAAATACATAAGTCATTTTTTTCTTGCATTTTGATCTGGATATTATAATTATGAAAAAATATTGCTGAAAGAACTGATGGATAATAATGTTTACAATTGTTTATATATAGATTATAGAATTTAATGGTCACAACTAAATATAAAGCGAATAATATTTAAATTATATCTCGATCTAACGGCATTGCATTAATACGCTTTGTCAACATTATAAATTATTGTTTATAATAAATTTCTTTGATCCAGTTACAAAGCATTTTGTTGCATTTATATTTCTTACGTGGTCACTCTTATATAATTCACAAGTAATGAAAGCCCTTAAACGCAAATTGGCAGCCAGATCTTTTTAGCTAAGTTACATTCTTTTTACTGAAGTTGTAGTCTTTAGCATGACACGTGCATAAAAATGGAATGACGTCATTTAAGCTGGAACTTTCGAATGTAGATGTTAATGTGAGTGATCTTCCGCTAATATTCACACTAACCCTCAAGACAAGATCGAAAGCTCAGGAAACACCACAACACAATTGCTCAAATGAAGTTTGCTCATAAAGAAATGTTGTGAACAGATTGTTGACTGATGTTTTATATTAAAAATAAATGTTGATTGAAAAAAACACTATAAAAGCCTTCTTTCTTATCTTGAGCATATCGATGACAGTTTTATTCTTGTCATATATGTAATGTTCACATGATATGAAAACTAATAGATTTACCGTTACTGTGTTAAAATAAACGAAGAGAAAATATATGTATAAAATCAAAAATTGTTATATTTCTTGTTTATGTATGATTTAAATACTACAAGAATGAGTATATCGGCTTGTCCACGTAACGCGACACTTCGCCGATCAAGTTTTTAAAATTTTTTTTTTCGAGTTGAACAGATTTGAACAAGCTATTAGACGCAGTTTTTAACGCTGATTACGAATCTGAGATTTATTTTATAAAAAATTCAGATTTTATTATCAAAAACTGGGTTTTAAACTTTTGAAAAATCGTATTTTGAGTTTTCTACCCAAGAAAGTTTTCCAAAAATTTGCGAGAGACGTATCATTCAATGCAGAATTGGATTCTCTACAAAATGGCTTATTTAGTTTTGATTTTAATAGCTGGTAACAATTTTTAAACTCCAATACCCTCCCCAACTTCCGGTCCAGTTTTTAAGCTCCCTCGTGGATGAATTAATCTGATTCTTTAGTACACGTTTATCTACACAGTAATGAGTAACCGTTAAAAAATTCAAATCATTCGGACGATATTAACTACCTCAAAAATGGCTCACAAAAAAGTGTGTAACAGCGTTACGAAAAACGTAACAGCGTTACGTTTGTTTTTTGCATTTTTCACACAAACAAAAATAGCTAAAAGGAAATTTTTTTTGGTTTTAGAAAGCTCGTTTAAAGCTCTACAAACGTAGTTCTAAGAGCATTTCTTTTGAACAAAATATATCGTAAGAAATTAGAGTTTTCTTGGTGGTACTGAAGAATAAGGGTCTTTTTATGTAACAGTGTTACGCGACAATGTAACCCTTACAGATATCCGAGGCTTCAACAAAAAAATATCGTTTTTATAGAATAAGTAGAGTTCGATAAGCTGCATCGAATGGCGTTTGAACGAACGTTCTATCTATTACACTTTCCGAGATAATTGAACAAGAATGTGTCAAAAACGTAACAGCGTTACGCTTGGACAAGCCGATATATTCATATTGAATTTCAATTTCCTTTTTTCGTCTTGTATCAAAAGAAACATCATTCAATGCAATAAATGTTTCTTGAGGATGTGGGTAAAGAGAAGAACAAAACAACCACACCATAGCACTAACTTGTTTTGAACTCTTGTTGAAAAATCAATTTAAATCAGAGATATCCATTGTGGTTGAGAATTCGCCGCTGCTGGATTGAAAGGAATATTAGATAATTCATCTGAGTTTCACGACTTAGATTATGTTTCAATAGAACTATTGCTACTAACTGATAAGATCCGTGTATTTTCAGAGTGCTGTTCTTGCATATCTTGAGTTTAGAATTGAATTTATGCTTATTGTTCATGTTTCTTAGAAAAATAAACCATAATGGGATGAAAAATTCCGCTTCTTATATATCAGGTGAGTTTTTATTCGAAAATAAATAGAAATACTCAAGGAAGGAAATTTTTCTCAGAAATACTTATTTCATAGAGAAACAAAAAATGTTATTAAAAATGAGTTCTGACAAAGCAAATTATTTGACAGGTTCAAATAAAAATATATCAAACTAATCATGATTTATTCATTGACGTCAAACATTTATTGACGATGATTTTTAATAATATATTTTCATTGAAAACATGTCTGATGATTGACATCGATATATTGATCAATTCTTATCTCTCTTCATCACGTTCTTCTCCTCTAAAATCATAGATTTTTCTATGAAATTAAAAAAGAAAAGGATCATTTCCAATTTAAATTTCATTTTATGCTTTAGAAAACAATGAAATTCAATGGAAATTATTAATTAAATCATGAATTTTTTTATCTTATCTACGACGAAACCTTCTCTAGAACACTATTGTTTCTCTTTGTGTGTTATCTCGGAAGAAATAAATGAGAGCAAAAGAGAGAGATATATAACTAGAGAGAAAATCCAAAACCAGTGTCATTTTGTTTTCAGCGAAGTCAAAAGAGGAAAAGATTAATTTATCAGTGGATTGACTTATCAAAAAAAACTTGCTGAATGATGTGGAATATCTACATATTTATCATTATTCTTCTGTTCCTTCTCAACTATGAAACATCAGGTAAATAATTTTATTTATCACATACTGAAGATTAGTAATTGTACAAATGACATTATTCATTAGAGTTTTAGTTGAAAAAAAGGAATTCAAATGATAGATTAAAGAATTTGACAGGAATTTCTGTTAAATATATTCGAGAGTGATGGTATAGATCTCTTGCAGCGGCTATGCGAGGCTTTTTTGTGGTTTGAAGAATGAGTGTACTTTAAGTTTAAAATTATAAGTTGAAATGCTGATTGATAGTATTATAGATATCTGAGTTTGTATCGATTCATAGTTTCAAATTGATTGAAAACTTGAATATTACTGAAATCTTCTCTCGACATTGGATTTATTTGTAGATCTTGAGATGAGGATGAGACACAAGAGAAATGAAAGAAATCTGTTTCATCATATCGCATTATAAAATAAGGAAAAAAGGATTAATTGACTTTTTCAGATGAAATCAAAATCAAAAAAAGAAAAGACCAACAGGTTAATGTAAATGAAAACAAAGTTTTGTGAAACTATATGACTATTTTGGTTTTGAGATAAGATGTAGATCCATTTATCCCATACAGATCACCATCTCTATTATATAAAAAATGCTATGACTATGATAAAATAATTCTATTATGTTTGATGTAGTCAAAGAGTTTTATGTATAAAAATAGAAGTGAGGTATGAAGTCAGTTGATCATCCACTTCTACATATTACTTACTCTTATAAAAAATGAAAAGGATTTAAAACTTTTGAGCTACACAAAGAAAAGAATCTTTTTTTTGAACATATGAAATTATCTTGTAGAAATGAATTCGATTGATGAATGAAATGATAAATATTCTTCATCGACACTTTGCAGGCAGGATTACTTGTGAGAAAATATTAACTTTTGAGCTGTAGAAATGAATACATCTGCTAGAAAGAAAGAAAGAGCACAAATCATATAATTATGTAGAACTACTTTGCGAGTGCAAATTCATGATTGGCACTACCATTTATATCACTAGACTATCATTAAAGAATATTCCTAAGTAAGATAAAATTTGAATCAAGGGTTAAATACATATAAGTTTTTCTCATCTTTACAAGGAATCGATGGTTATTGAAATTTTCTCGAAACATTCAAGTTGAAATAATGAGAGTAGAAAAAAGAAGAAGACGAGAAGTTTGATCAAATTTAATCATTATTTGACCAAAAAGTTAAAAGAAATTGGTTTTGTTAAATGTAAGTTTCCTTGAGATCGATTTCAAATTTGTTTCGTTTCATTTGATGAGAGTTTAAGAAGGAAAAAATGTATATTATCGATAAGAAAAAAAGAATATTTTCATTTTGTTTCTATCTCACGTCAAAATAGTTTTCTTGAACAATTCCTTCGAATGGCTATTTTATTAAAGATTAGCAAGAGAATTTTCTCTTCTCTTTTATATATTAGATTGGATTCAAATGATTTAACAAGCATAAATTCTCAATATTTTTCATATCAAAATGAAAATTCATTTTGAATGTCAAAGACATTTTGTTTAGATCTCAATCAATTTCAATAAAGTTATTTTGATTTTAAACAAGTCTTTTTTCCTCCTCTGATTTCATTTTCGTTGAATAAATAAAAAAAATTATTTGATAATTTTTTGTTCTTAATGATAATAAAATCTTTTGCAAGAATCGAAGATAATTATTTCTCTTTCACAACAAAAAATTCAATAAAGAACGTTGATTTTCTTCGATGAATTTATTCCTTTATCAGTTGATATTTACAAATCATTCTAGAAAATACAACAACAATCAAAGAAATGTTTTCAAAACTAATCTCAATGAATTTTTCCAAGAAAAAACATAAATTAACAATTCCATTTCGTTTACAGTTCTTCTCTAATATTCTTTGTATTTTTATCGTTTTAGCTCTTTCATTCAATCAGCCAAAGTTTTCTTCAACAGCCACTTGGAATTCAAATGGAATTACCATTGCTAATCAATCGATTGTTGGTCAAAATCTTAACGCCATTTTTGTGAACGTAAACAACACAATTTATGTTGCAAATCAAAAAAATAACGCAATTCTAATATGGCATGAAGAGAGTGTCAATCCAACAGAGATCATCGCCGGTAATTTTATAACACCCTATTCTCTCTTCGTGACATCAAATGGTGATATTTATATTGATGATGGTCTTGAGAATGGACGAGTGCAGAAATGGATAGCAGAGACAAATATCTCTGTTACCGTGATGAATATCAGTTCAGAATGTTTTGGTATGTTTGTCGATATCAATGATACTCTTTATTGTTCAATGCCTGATGATCATCAAGTGGTGAAAAGATCATTAAATGATGCTCTGATGGCTCCAAATCGTGTTGCTGCTGGAACTGGTATTGAAGGATCAGCCTCGAATCAACTTGAAAGTCCTCGTGGAATTTTTGTCGATGTGAATTTTGATTTATATGTAGCAGATGGTAACAATGCTCGAGTTCAGTTGTTCCGGTCGGGAGAGGCAAATGGCATCACAGTAGCTGGAAGTACATCCCTAAATCCAACTGTTATACTTCATGGTCCAAGTGGAGTTATATTAGATGCTGAGAAATATTTATTCATTGCAGATCAGAATAACCATCGTATTGTTGGTTCAGGCTTGAATGGTTTTCGATGTTTAGTTGGATGTTATGGTAGGGGTTCACAATCCAATCAATTGGGTAATCCATTTGGTTTGAGTTTTGATAGTTTTGGAAACATATTTGTTACTGATTCAGCAAATAATCGAATTCAAAAGTTTTTACTGATGAAAGATTCTTTTGGTAAGTTGAATAAAATGAAGAGATATGAATAGATAAGGAACACAAGTTAATAAATATATTTCAATATAAAAAAAGAAAGAACACAAAAATGGGTGAGAAAAATTAATTAAACCAATATGTATAAAAGAATGTGTCTAAGAAAATGCAATGTTCAGATTTGACAGAGTCATAAGTCAATCATCTAAGTCAAACAATTTTCGCCTTTTTGTTCAGATTCTAAAGAATAGAGAAAGAAAAAGCTCTGTCCTTAATGAAGTAGTAGAAAGTGCTTTTATGTTTCGTTTCGTATGTCTAAGAGAATATTTCATCAAGGAAACACTTTTTATCAAAATAAAATCTCTTCATATTTTTGTCGATATAGCTTTAATATAAATTATTCTATGATTTGACTTCATATTTCATATTTCGATATGTTTGATTCAAGAAAAATAAGATAAATAAAATAACACAACTCTAACAACTAATTTTTCTTCTCTTTTATGTAGAAAAATGATTTTAGCCATTGTTTTTCTTTGGGTTAGGTAATTTTTAGTATGAAATATTATAAAAAATGAATTTTCTTATAAAGAAATGTTTTATTGATAATTTATTCTTTGGATAGATATTATGATATTTAATTGGAGAGAGTAATATTGAATAATTAAATACAATTTATAATGTAATATATGTTATTATTTCTATAGTTTTAAACAAAGAATATTTCCTATAAAAGAAAAAAGTTGTTTATTTGATAAAATAGATCAAAATCTAATGATTTAATTTTGAATAAAAATGTTTATTAGTTCGATCAAATTCATCATTTAAGAGAATTAAAAAGAAAAACAGATTTTCAATTAAATTTATTCTAGACTGTTCTTAAATGAAAATTTTACATAAGTCAATTAAAGAAGTTTTATCTACATTTCTAAACTTTAATGAGGAAAAGTTTTTCTGATTGATATGAAATTTTTTAGTTGTACAAATATTTATTTTATTTTTCCTAGAAGACGTGCAGTTCATGATTGCTTTCCCTTTAAGAGAATTATTTATTCTTTTCACATGAAAATAAAGATTTTTTTGTTTTGTTCTTTATTTCATAGGAAAAAACAATGATATCCGTAACACACTATTAAGATTACAAAGAAAGATTTGTTTTATTTAGATTGAACAAAGACGAAATATTGTGTGATCTTTCATGAATCTTTGAAATTTCTTGAGATACAAAAATCTTCGGGCGACAATTTGTAGAAAGAGCGTTTGTAGAGGGACAAGAAAACTTTTTGAGGATCTTAAACAATCTTATCTTTTTTGTCCTCAGTTTTCTTTTCTTTTTCATGCAGTATCGATATGACGTGAGGGACATTATTTTTTATTTCCTAATGAAATAAAATAAAATAAATCTAATTATATCCCCAATAATATAGACAACTAAGATGACATAGTGATATCTATGGTTTTTCTCTGACTTTTTCATTGATTTGACTTTTAATTTCTATCAAAAACAAATTTCAGAAACTCTGAATTAATGTTTGAAAACTGAAATTTGTTTTTCAATGAATATTTTAAGGCAAGATCTGTAATGGTACATCTTTAGAATTATTTTTGAAAAATCGATTTTATAATTACAATTTACTTGAGAAAGGCGGATAATATGCTTAATATTGAAAGAAATAGATTGAATTCATAACAATCTCTTCTATTTTATTGAATTTTTTGTCTTCAAATAGATAAATTCTTGTATTTCATTGTTTTCTTGAATACAATTTATTTAGATCTTTCAGAGGATTTTTCAACAAGACTTAAACAAATATATTTTAACAATTTCACAATTAACATTTCATATCAAAATTAAAAAAAATCATTCCCAAAATCACTTTTGGCAAACATTCCTAAATATCTATATAATCAAAAATTTCTCTGAAGAAACTTTATTTTTTTCTACAAATATAGAAATCAATAATTCCATTTCATTTACAGTTCTTGTCTAATATTCTTTACATTTTTCTTGTTTTTAGCTCTTTCATTCAATCGGCCAAAGTTTTGTCCAACAGCTACTTGGAGTTCAAATGGAATTACCATTGCTAATCAATCGATTGTTGGTGAAGATCCTAACGCTATTTTTGTGAGTACAAACAACACAGTATATGTCGCTAATAAACAGAATAACACAATTGTAATGTGGCAAGGAGAGAATGTCAATCCAACAAAGACCATTGTCGGTAATTTTACAAAACCATGGTCTCTCTTCGTGACATCAAATGGTGATATCTATATTGATGATGGTGTTAAGAATCGTCGAGTGCAAAAATGGAGTGTAGAAACAAACAACTTTTCCACGGTGATGAATGTCGACTCCTTATGTGATGGTTTGTTTGTCGATATCAATGATACTATTTATTGTTCAATGCAATCTCATGATCAAGTGGTGAAAAGATCGTTAAATGATTCTAACACAACTCCAAACCGTATTGCTGCTGGAAATGGTATTGAAGGATCGGCCTTGAATCAACTCAATGGTCCTCGTGGAATCTTTGTTGATGTGAATTTGGATTTATATGTGGCAGATTATAACAATCATCGTGTTCAGCTATTTCAGTCAGAAGAATTAACTGCCATCATCGTAGCTGGAAGCACGTCACTAAATCCAACAATTACACTTTTTCATCCAACTGGAATTATATTAGACGTTGAGAAATATTTATTCATTGTGGATTCTTTCAATCATCGCATTGTTGGTTCAGGCTTGAATGGTTTTCGATGTTTAGTTGGATGCTATGGAAGAGGTTCACAATCCAATCAACTATTTTATCCATCTAGTTTTAGTTTTGATCATTCTGGAAACATGTTTGTTACTGATACAACAAATCATCGAATTCAAAAATTTAGATATTTAAAAAGATATTGTGGTAAGTTGAAGTATAATCGAACGAGATGGTGAGACGTGAATGTTGATAATGAAAAGCTGCATAGGTTTTGTTAAAAGAAACTGAGGTTCGAAGCAAAAGAAAATACTGTACATGAAACTTCTTTGATCGAAAAACTATAAAATTATGTAAATGAAATAATTGGTTAATTTAAGAATTTCAATATAAAACTAGTAAATTCATTTAACGTATAAATTTCAATTGATTATAGATATTCTTGTTTTAAATATTTTCGCCCTCAAGATGTAAAGATAGCTATCAGATCAGAAAAATCATCAAAGATTTTGATTGTTATTCAAAGAATAAAACAGAAGCTCTTACATGTTATGTAGAAACTATCTGATCGGCGTAAACAACATTATGTTATATTTGATTGATTGAAAAAAAATCTCAGTTTAATCTAATCATTTAGAAGTTTCTCTCTCCCTCACTCTTCATCGGTCAGATTTTGTTTCGAATTTTTAAGTGTCATGTAAAAGTCAAATATTGTGCTGTGCATGTCGATCAAAAATTTTGATTAGATTCTCTTCGCCACGGTAAGATATACATAATATTTTCTCTTTTAAAAATGTCGAAAGACACATAGTATTACAGAACGAATTCAAACGCTTTCTCCTCAAGAAACTGATTTTTATTTTTTTGAGCACAAATTGCCAGTTTAATAGATTAGGAACGTATATTTAAAGTAAACGAAAGTTTCTATTCGAAAAGACTTGCATCTCTGTGCACTCAAGATAAATTTTAATTGATTTTATTGTTCATTTAGTGAATACTTTCTCGGTTCTTCAAAATATCTATTCATCATCATTGACTGAGAGCAATCAAATGTACTACCGAGATTGTCAGAACGAAAACTTTTACTACGAATCTATTCAAGTGAAGGTAAACGAAAGTGGTTACTATAGTTTTCGTGGTAGTGGTGACATCGATCCATATGGATCGATTTACAAAGCCAAATTTAATCCACTTGATTCATCAGAGAATTTGTTCGATCAAGATTATGATCGTTGCTCTGATCTTCAGTTTAAACTTAATATTTATCTTGAAGTTGGCATGACATACGTACTGATTGTGACAACATATGAATCAAACGAAACTGGAAATTTTTCAATCGGTGTAATGGGTAAAAACCAAGTTATTCTCGAGCGTCTTAGTAAGTATATAGATATTTGTGCTGTATATTAAATAACTCGTACGAAATGTACAGTATCTCGTTCAAAATCAATTTCTTCTTTTATTCTATATCAAGAGAATGTACTGAATTTATGCTATCTAATATTAAGGCATTTTCTAGTAGGATATCTACTCTTGTGTTTTTCTACTACTATCTTAGTCGATAAATACTGTCCAATTTCCACAAATACTTAATAAAAAATTTCTAAAAAGAATAGTCAATGAGATATTTGGAACCAATTGACAGTAAAATGCTAAAAACCCAAAAAGTATCTTCCGGTAGCTCAGAATTTTTGGATCTTTGTGGCATACTGATTTCAGAATACTCACTTGAAGAATGTGGATTTGGTACATTTACTAATTTCTATTCGTAAAATTGAATCTTCGCAGAACATCTCAAAGATTTCGTTTTTGTCGATGTTAGATAATAGTATCAAAATTTGATGAATTATTTGATTTTTTTTATTGAACAGGTACTCCAGTAAATATTCAATTGAATTATTCATCAAAATTAACTGATGATAGTCCAACATATTATCGAGATTGTCAAATACCACAATGTCATTATGAAACATTACAAATTCATGTCAATACAACAGGTTTGTATGTTCTTTGGAGTGAAAGTAATATTAATGCATATGGATATATCTACCAAAATGATTTCAATCCTCTAAAACCATCCGAAAATTTACTCCTGTCACATGGCGGTGAATGTAATGATGGAGAGTACAAGTTAATCATCGATCTTGAGATCAACACTCGATACATATTAGTTGTGACAACACAAAACCCTAAGAAAATTGGAGACTTCTCTGTTGTTATCTCTGGACCAGACAATATCAGTCTTAGTTCTTTCAGTAAGTATTTATATGATTTTTTCGATAACAAATATATAATGACATAAAACGCGTGAAAGAAGATTTCTTCTATTTTTTTTGATTACTGAGTAATTGTTATTTTATGTTTTGAAAAAGATCTATCGAGTTATCGACTAAGATAGTTTTCAAAATCTTTGAGTCGATTAATCTGTTAGAAAAAGACATCTACTTAGCGTCAATTGTTAATAGATTTTCCATATTTTCGATATTCATAATTATAGCCTTTCAAATCTTTACGGATGTGGAATTTTCGAAGACTCAAAATCTTGCAAAAGTAAAAGTTTCTACGATAATTTTTCTATCTGTAGAAATCAATAGTGAAAGAATAGTTCGCTTTCAATAATTTATTAATAAGCTAGAGAAACAAATAAATTACCAAAACTGAATATTTTATTTGTCAAAACAACTCAATTTCTTTATTATTCTCTTACCAAAATATATTCAATATTTTAGGTCCAAAAGAAAGTAGTTGTGTCATCGGTGATCAATGTAACTTTTATATCAAAGGAATTGGTCTGACACTTGATGATATTTTACGAAATGAACTTAAACCAAATACAGTGTTGAATAATCAATCATTTTCGATTAAATTAAGTGCGGCTTTAACAATAATTATGTTTGTTGCAGGATTAATCAATAGTATTCTTTCTTTTATTACATTTCAAAGTAAAGATTCTCAACAAGTTGGATGTGGAATGTATCTATTGGCATCATCGATTACTTCTCTTTTGGCAATTAGTATGTTTATAGTCAAATTTTGGTTTGTTGTTCTCACTCATATCAATGTGTCCACTAGTCTCTCTGTTCTTCGTGGAGGTTGTGCATCTATTGAGCCAATTCTAAAACTTTTTCTCTACTTGGATGGTTGGCTTAATGCTTGTGTAGCAGTTGAACGAGCAGTACTTATTCTTAAAGGAGTAAAATTTGATAAGACAAAGAGTAAATCTATTGCTCGACGAATAATTCTTATTTTACCATTCTGTATTGTCGGTACTCTTATTCATGAGCTCGCATTTCGCAGATTGTTCGAATATGAAACAGGACTAGATAAGATGGATATGAATAAGACTAATGAAGACACAATCAAGCGATATGTCTCATGCATCACTCATTATTCTGCTTTTGTCCAAGATTACAATACAGCCGTTCTATTTTTTCATCTTGTTGGCCCATTTATTGTTAATCTTTTCTCTGCATTGTTCATCATCTTTGGAGGTGCTCGACAACGATCAATGGCACGAATTAACCAAAATTTTAAGGAACATGTTCAACAACAATTCCGTGAACATAAACAATTGATCATTAGTCCAATAGTTTTACTCGTTTTGTCAATACCTCGTCTCATCATTTCATTACTTCCTGGTTGTGTGAAAACATCTGAAAACTTATGGTTGTATCTTGGGCCATATTTCATTTCTTTTACTCCTTCGATGCTCATCTTTCTTATCTTTGTCTTTCCTTCAGAATTGTATATGAAAGCGTTTAAACAAGCGTTCAATCGTATTCGAAGGCGTACTCCTCCCTAATCAATCTGCTCAATTTCAATGATTCGATATCAAAGGTATTGTGAACTTCAATGACATGACTATTATAATAAATACATAAGACATTATTTATTTGTTTGCTTCTCGTGCTGAATCAGTTGATGTACTGTTGCATTTGAAAATCGTGTTTGGAAAGAGACATTGAACACTTATATCTCGCTTTGGATTATCATCAATTGAAACGATAACGTGTTGAATAATAACAGATAATGCAAACATATAACACGATTGCTGTTCTGTACTTTTATTATTTAGATATAATCGAGACTCATGAAGAAATGTTGTGCAATAGTTGATGTGACTATTAGACTAAGTGATAAAGATTAGAAGAAACTATGTCAACTTTACACAAACTATGTTCTTTGCAACATTATTCACATTTCTTCTTGTCTGTCTGTTGTGTGCTTTTCATGTTGTTATATTTTCTGTAGTAAAATCGAGCAGAAGTGCTGAGATATTCAAAAAGAAAGAATTAGGTATATGTTCTATGAAACTTCACATGATTCTCTCGAACTGATACTGAAAAAATGTTTTGATCTCATAAAGGATCGCGTCCGATGGCATAATATATCTGCAGAAAAAAATTAATGGAAACTATTTTGAGAATGTGAGTTAGTGTGAGTATGTGTCTGATAACAAAATATCCTTAGGCACACCCATACTCTCACACCTGCTCATATCGGAAATCTTTATTTGCTTTTTCTTCACAAGAGGAAGACACTTAGAGCACCTAGAACTATTAAACCTGGCAAATCTCAGATCATGACAAAAGAAAAACAATTTATAGAAATAGAAATTTTCTTTCTGATAGTAATAGGAAAATATTATTCTATGAAATCATATACATTCATGGAACATTCTCAAAACAAAAGGTTTTAGATAATTAGTTTTATTCTTCAACTCTTAATACAAACATAAAATAACAAATTTAACATAAAAGTAAAATATTCGATCTTTCATTATTCTATACGTACATAATCTTTAAACAAATATTTAAATGCTTCATTTCTCACTCTTTTATTCTTATAAAATAAGAATATTGGCAACATTGCAATAGCTACTATCACTGAATTAACTGATACAAAATATAATTCTCTTGGTGCCATTCCATTTTCTATTAAATCCCAAAGTATAAGAACTAGATAAGGTGCACCACCACAAATAAGAAAGTTCAGAATAATTGACATATTTTTCAGTACGATTAAATTTTTTCGAACAAAATTTAATGAAATACAAGCAGCAGTGATCTTTATAATTCTATTTGATCCAACTCGATGTGTCGATTGACAAACTTGATGAAGAATTAAACCATAAACAATTAACACAAAAACTTTTGGAAAAATATATAAAAGAATAATAGAATATGATGCCACAGGTAGTTTATGTGTTTTAATTCCGCACATTCGATGTTCTTCTACAACTTCAAAACTATCTTCAATAAAAAGTGGTCGAATAGCTACTAAAAAACTTGCTAACCATTTAATAATTATTAAAATATAATGTGTACGCCAACTCAATAAAAATGTATGAGTATAAAAAATTGAAAAAAATAATCGACTAATTGCTTGAATTAAAAATGAATAAGTTATAGCAGCAACTGTTGTTGTTATTAAATACATACGTAAAGTACAGAATGGTTGATAAGAATACCAATCATTACGAATACCATAATAACATCCAATAAGATGTATAATTAAATACAGTATTGATGATATAGATAAATCACATACGAGTAAATTATGTATAGTGTGACATTTTCGATGATTTACAATAATAAAAGTAAGTAAGAAATTAAATATAATACCAACAAGTGAAGCGATAATAGAAATTGAAAAATTTATCTGATAAAATAATTCAGAAAGCATATTTTGATATCTTTACAAAATTTAATGCATTTGTTGGCAGTTGCTGATAGATGTATCGATGTCTCTTTTGAGGAGACAAGTTCTGACATATAGAATAGAATCTTTTTCATATTTTTCTCTCAAAAGAAAATAGAAAACATGCGACTCTCATTTCCGTTTTGTTTTTCTATTCACATAGGTAATTAGAGTGCTGCATATTTTTTGAGTGCTGAATCATCAAATTTTGATGTTATTCATCATTTTCATATACAAAAGTTTTCAATGAATAATTTATCCACTGACTGTTAACACTATTTTTTCTTCATGTAATTTTTTATTCGATCATAAAATGTCAAACGTTTGGAATTAATAAAGCATTGATATAGAAATGCTTGTGAAGATATTCAAGTTGGAAACTGTTGTTCTTTCATAGAAATTGGATTTTAGTTATAAAACGTTTATTAGTGCTTAAAAGATATTTCAAGTAAAATTATATTTCAGATAACTGTTTACCTTGACGATTCTTTTCAAGCGTCTCATCGACAATTGTATACATGAAAAATATATATTATTTTGAAGAACATTACAGAATAAATCTGAAGAGAAGAAGAAATTAAGAGGCGCATTTTTTCTGGGGCACCGCTTAGTTAATTAATTAATTAGACGGTTGATACATACTAAACATTAATAACGTCGAGATTGTAGATGAAATAGAGGATTATTTTTATTTTTAATTGGAACCATAGTAAATGATCTAAAAGCGATTTTTATTTAGTTGTTTTGTTTGAGATGTATTAGTATCACTAGTAATTAAATAGTGTTCTAGAAAGTAATAGAAATAGTGAGAGAAAACGATGCAATGAAATAAACAAGATTAGATATGAAGCGTTCAAAGGAATATATATTCGAATTTATATAAAAACATGTTCGGTTCTGTTTACTAATAAACCTGACGCATTTTTTTTTTCTTAAATGAAAGATAAACGAAGATGTTTTCTAGTTCTGCAGCATTTCACGATGAAGATTCTTACAAAAAATATATTTTATTTCCACGCAAGAAGGAAACAACTGATTCTTGATTAGATATGAGTTTAAGTGATTAGGATAGTTAGCGGATTCATAACCAGCTGTTTTCCTCTTATGCGACATGGTATATTTTTGGTCATTTGCGTGTCAAATTGATACAATCAAAATTTGGTGGTCTTGTAACAAATTTAAATATTAATGAAAGTATTTCTGACTATGCAAAAGATATCACTCTAGTTGTTATTATTTCACAATTGACTAGTTTGATACATCAATATCTCTATGGTGGTTTCTTTTAGTCATTTCACTTTATGCAATTAATAAAGTTATCCTCTTGCTGTTTCTTCTCACCTAATGCTCCATCATTTGATGGTACCAATTAAGAACAAGACGATTCAGCTATTTCATCAGAAAGATAAAGCAATGAAAATTGTTTTTGTAACTCAACATTAATAAACGGCAGGCATATTCATGATGTTTTGTTATCTAGTGTTCTATTCTACAACAAAAACAGATCTTGACTTGATCAAATACATGTTGCGATGATGGAATCATGTAGATTGCTAATAACATTAATCTACCAGGGCAACATTTTCTTCATAAAATATATTATCTTCAATTTCACTTCATTATATAACTTACTATTTATCTCACAATAACAATAGGTGGTCTCCTTCCAAAGTCGGTGTCCTAAAGATTATCTACAATAACAACAAAGAAAGAACAGAAAAATGATATGTAACATGTACTAACAAACATATATTCATTGTATTTATTCTGTTATATATTTGATACATAACCAATTCTGTATTTTTAATATGAAAAATTTATTGTTTCAGATATATCTCGATTTGTAATGATCCTGTTCAAGATTATACTCTATTAACAACAAGAAAAATTCTCATATTTCAAAAGACCATCTAAAATATATTTCATTAAATCAAAATTAAGAACTAACGAGAAAAAGATCAGCTCAGATATTGTCTCAATAAAAAACAAATTTTATCTTTATATAAATATTAAATCAGTGTTCTATATTTCATGTAATATGGAAGACATCGATATATTGTTCGTTTTACATACTTGGAATCTTCATATTTTATTTGTCATATAACTTTTGTTCCAGTGTAGAAAATTAGACTCATGTCCAACAATTCACTTGACAAAAGATCCTAATCTCAATGAGATCGGCACTAGCATTTCAAACCAGCGATAGCTAATCATACAAATTTAAGTTGCTCATGTTTATTCTCTTCATACACATGTTCATTTTCTAGTCAAAGACAAAGAACAATCGAATCTTTTCTATGACTCATTCATGATGATGGTTATTTCACAAGAATGATGAAAGTTATTATATAAGTCACAATACAAGTTTCTACTCTTATTAACGTTATTTGTCGATATCTTTCGATTATACAATAATATGACTATTATAAATCATTACCAATTAATTTTAATCTATATTGTATCTGAGTATTGTTTGTCTTTTATTTTTCATTTAAAATAGAAAGTGTTGCTCTGGCAAGTCAGTGTTATCACCAACCTGCATGTTTTCGTCATCGCAACATGTTATTTGATCATATCAAATTTTTATTTACCTCTTGTTATAAGTTGTAATAAGTAACTTTTTATTTCAGTGTGTAGAGCACAATATTTACTCTGTCTATACACATGTTATATTCAAAGAACATGAAGAAACATGAAATATGTTATGACACAACACATGTAGTCATTCATCACATATGAAATTTACTACTATAGGAATAATCAACAACAATGACACGGTATGTAAAACAATTAGCATGTAGATTTCATCCAGAAGCTGTATTGATTGAAGATTATCGTGCTGGTGATATGATTTGTTCAGCATGTGGATTAGTTGTTGGAGATCGAATGATAGATGTTGGGTCGGAATGGAGAACATTTTCTAATGATAGTGATACAAAAGATATGAGTCGTGTTGGTGGTGCAGCAAATCCATTATTTAATAATGATAATCTTGAAACTATGATGTCACTAGGAACAGGTGCAGGAGCAGTTGATGAATTTGGTAAACAAAAATATACTGCAGGTGGATCTCATAAAATGTCATCTACGGATAATACATTAAGAAATACATTCGATGTTATTCGACAAATGGCAGGACGTATTTCTTTATCAAATCGAATTATTCATCGAGCATGTTTTATTTTTAAACATTCTCATGAAAATAAATGTGTTCGAGGTCGTTCACAAGATGTTATTGTTGCAGCATGTATTTATATTGCATGTCGACAAGAAAATGCACAACGTACAATCAAAGAAATTTGTGCTATTTCAACAAATGCATCAAAGAAAGATATTGGTCGATGTTTTACACAGATTATTAAAAATTTACCAGTTTCAAATCAACCGACATCAGTTGATGTTATTAATTTAATACCTCGCTTTTGTAGTCAACTTGAATTTCGAGAAGAAATTCTCATTAAAAAAACAGCTGTTCATATTGCTGAACGTGCAAAAGAAATTTGTGATATACAAAGTCGTGCACCAGATTCAATTGCAGGTGCTTCAATCTATATGGCTTGTGCTGCTATTGGGGAACAAAAACGAATGGAAAATATACAAACTATAGTTGGTGTGACAGAAAATACAATTCGACAAATATATAAAATAATGTTACCAAAAGCGTCACAATTATTTCCAGCAGATTTTCAATTTAAATGTTTACCAGCAAATTTACCATCATCATAAAGAAGAAATTATTACAATAAATATGTCAAAAAGACTAAGTGATGATACTCACTTGCTAGAACAATATTATCAAAACATAGAAATGTACTTCAAGTTTTCATGTATATAACAAAATATTTTTCTTCAAAAGAATAAATAGTAACTATACATAAACAGTCATGTATTCATTATCAATTTCACAAGTAATACTCATGTTGATGTAATGATAGAAAGTGTGAACAAGAATAGTCAATTCAATGTAATTCATAGCATTTTGTTCTTATTTTTGTTTACTCATAATATAGAAATTAGACTCAAAACACAACTAATAAAATCAAGAACATTTTAGAGATCATTCCTATGAAAATATTTAGTGAGAATATCACTTCAAACAACGATTGAAAAAAATGAGATATCTTCAACAATAAAAAATAAACAATAATCTATGAAAATAGACAATACATGAGGTTTTTTATTTAAATATGTTTAGCCGGTGAACTTATTCTCAATGCACCATTTTCATTTGTTACATGTCCTGATAATAATGGAGTTGTATCTAAATCTATTCTTCTAGGACCAGTAAACCAATAACGAGCAGAAACAAACCAATAGATTCCAGCAAGAAATAGAACTCCAACAATAGCTACAATAGAATAATTCATATTTGTCCATGTCATTGGATATTCTTGTGGAAGACATAAAATAATTGATGTGATTGTTAACCATATGGATGAAATTATTGCTATTGGGATACTTAATCTACCTAAATTAAATTCACCTAATACAAATGTTTTTCTTGCTGTTGTACATCGTAATAAAACTGGGATTAAATAAGATATCTGTAAACTACTTGTTGAAAGAGTAATAAAAGCATAAAAAGCTGTTGTTGATATGAGTTGAAATAATAAAAGAATAGAATTTATCACAAATACACTTATAATAGCAGCTAATGGAGCTTTTGTTCCTTCATAGATCCAACGAAAATAATGTGATAATGGAAAAATACCATCTCGAGCCAATGAAAAACTATTA